AGTGTTTTGTGAAACTAATTTAAACTCTATTGCTACAAATGAATTCTCTGTTCCAGGCTATCTTCCTCTTTGTCAACAAAAATTCTAGGATACATAATCATGGCCTTAATGTTTACATCCAGAAAAATCTTCCAATGGCATGAAAATCATCTCATATGATTCTTTCATGAGATTTTGACTTTCTTAATTGCACTCTTTTTTTCCTTGATTGCTCCCCTTCTTCTAATTACTGTAACACATTAGAGAAAATATCTGACAATATAGAAATCTCTCTCTCTTCATCTGCAAACATCTTTGTTTTCTGATTTTAATGCTAATCATGTCAAGTGGCTTAATCATTTTAATGTTACTGGTGGTGTTAATATTCAGACTTGCAAATTTTCCATTGCTCAATTTCTCAGCCAAATAAATTTTCCTACTTGCTTCTCTAATAATTATGATCAACATGTTTCTTTACTAGATCTGTTGCTTACCTGCTAGCTCTTTTCAAGTATCACAAATCTGTCCTCTTGGCAATTCAGATCACACTGTAGTATCTGTTGATATTTCTTTTGACGTGTCTATTAGGCATGAACCTCCTATTCACAAGACTTCTTTCTGTTACCAGCATATTGATTGGGATTCTCATTTCCTAGTTTTCTTCATAATACCCCTTGGAGTGAAATTTTTTTAATGTTCTTTATGGGTAAAAGCCAGCATCAATACTTTTGTGTAATTTTGAAAATACCAGGTGGAACCACAATCTTCTTGATTCACATCTGTAGTCTACAGGAATCTTTTTTTTTTTTTTTCAGCTATGCTAATGTAATAGTTCTGATCACACTCAATTTGAGATGTTAACATTTGCTGATAGAGCAGAATGTTTTACTCAAATTCTCTTCCAATTCTACTTGACTAATTTGGAATATGTTTGACTTTTCAATCAGAACTGAGTTTCTACTGCATGATATGCATACAACTCTGTTATGGTTTCTGCTATTATCTCTAAACTGGATCCCCACAGAGCATGTGAATTTGATGGTATCCCTGCAATAATCCTTAACAAATGTGCTCCTGAATTGACTTTACAATAAATGCCTTGTTACTTCTTGTGTTCCTGCTTTTAAAAATCCTCCTCTTTAGTTTCAGTCTTTAATAACTCAGGCAACTTGTCTGATTCTTCTATCAGATTCTACCTCTTTTTGGCAATGTATTAGAGGCTCTAATCAATTCCAAATTGGTTAAGCATCTCACTTTGCAAAATTTTCTTTCAGATAAGCAATGTGACTTTCACTTCTCTAGGTCAACTGCTGATGTGCTAATGGTTACTGCTATTATGCTTTAGATAAGAATGGTGAAGCTTGGGCTCTTTAGATATCTCGAAGGCATTTTACAGGGTTTGGCATGCTGATTTTCTTAAGTTAAAAGGTTTGGTATTTTTGGATAAAGTTTTCATCTGATTCAGTCTGATTCTGATTTTTTTTTTTTTTTTTTTCTTAGCAAATCACAAAATGAAAGTTGTCTTAAATGGACACTCTTCTAAATCCTATTCTTCTTTTATCTTGGAGAACTTTTTTTTTTTTTTTTTTATCCCTTCTATCAGCATGGCAATTTTTCTTGCCATAATCTATAAATCTATCACTCATCCATCCATTAAATATTGCTGCCACATCTAGTCTGATGCTTCTTATGTATTTAGAGATTCTTGATAAAATCCAAAGAATCTACAATGCTATCAGTCCTAACTTAGCATTTTGGCTACATTGACTTTCTGTCAAAATCCGAGGGCATATTGGAATAGTGAATGATGCCTTCCAAAAGTTAAGTATTAAGAAACGGGAAGATTTTGCTAAAAACAAAGAAAGGTGTACTGGGCTGTTATATATGGCAGTGAATGCTAGATCATCATCTCACAGATGAAGAGACTTGAAACAACAGAAGGATGCTGATAATACCATGGACTGAACATGTGAGCAATGACAGTTTTAGAGAAAATGGAAACAAAAAGTATAGTTAATATCAGAAAGAGATAGTTGAAATTTCTTGGACACATAATGAGGAAAAAGAGCTTAGAAAATTTGACGCTCACTGGACATATTAGGATGGCAACTGGGAAAGAAGGACAGGAAAACAGCACATAATCTACCTTTTAACAGGCTTGTGTAAATGGTTGGTGTCATAGGGTTTAGGGAAGATACCAAAAAGACAATTTACTAAGAATTACAAAAGACAGGAAAATGTGGAGACCCATGATCCATGTTCTGAAGGAATGTCTCAATTTAATTGCTATCATTCAGCAAGAGAGTTCTAGTATGCTGGGTATTTCTGATATATTGGGTGCAAGATAAGCTGGACCAACTTTTTTTGTGTTGGTGTGTGGCATTTTTACCATTCTTAAAATAGGATAATATACTGAAAATATTGCTTTCCTTTTTGCTTCATCTTCAATAAACAAAAATACAGTAATTTTTGCAAATTTCTTTTTAAATAACGCAACTGACATCATATAATAAAATTTTTTAAACGTAGTTACAACTAGATTCTCTTAAGTTCATATAATTCCAGAAACAGGAATTTTAGACTGCCCAATAGTTAAAGCATATATTTGAAAAAAAAAAAGAAATAAAATATACATTAAATGTGAAAGTGTGCAAATAATTTATGTACAGAAATCACAAAACTGTCACTTATACTCTTTTAAAATATGCTTAAAATACAACACTGCTTTGTACAAATTCGCATGAAATGTAAAATATTCAAGCTAGCCTTTAACTATACCAGCATGCTAGTTAATTGAATTGAAAAAAAATAGCCCTGTGAAATTCTCAGTTATATTTCTACTTATTATTGTAGAATAAAACAATCTGTTTTTAATGTCTTAATAAAGTTTCCCTATTCCTTACACCCTCTCTATGATATTCCATTTACTACATTATTCATTTAGCATCCTAATAAAACAATGTTTTCTGTTCATTCTATTGAAGTGTCCTCTAAAATCTAGTTTGTTTCTATCATTTATGCTGACTAAATCAAAAAGATTAAATAAAGATAAATGAATAGTTATAGACTTATTACATTTTCTAATGTTATGATCATTCAAAGTTCATAAAAACTTGGAAAATTTTTGTCTTGTGCTATTGAACAAAAAACCAATCTTAACAGTTTATAACTAAAGATGCAGGCTTCAAACAAAGTTAAAATTATTATAAATGTAATATCATATAGGTCTTAAAAAAAGATAATGCTAATAGAATCAATAATTCTTTGATCAGAGCAGCCTAAACATTGTAAAATTTTTGTTCTCAAACAAAATCATAAAAATAACATGGAAGTACAAATGTGACTGATTATATAAGTTTCATTGCAACTTATTCCTATACTTCATAATGGTAATGAAGTTTCTTTTTTTTTTTTTATTATTATTATTATTATTTTAGTACTACCCCAATAAACAAAATGTTATATTTACACCACATAAAAATGCCAGAAGCGCAATTATGACAGTAAGGCAAATAAAAGTTAAAAGGATGCTATACTAAATTTGCCATTTGAAGGGGGGGAGTATCAATGGAAGATACATGCTGAAAACTTTGTAACCTTACTAATTTTGGATAAGAAATTCAACAAAACAACTCTTTTCACTGTCATATCAATATTTTTTTGTAATGTGTATATTATTTTAGAAATTTTTGTGAAATTATGTAATTTGCAACTTGATTACAAAACTTAGGAATTTGTTTTACAAAAGGAAAAACAAATACTTTATAATAGTGATTGAAACTTCTTCAGTTTTAAACTAACAGAAAAACTTTGTGAATGGTTCTACTGCATTTCCTCTCCTAATGGTGATTTGCCAACTGAATTACTTTGTTGATTCCACTTGTGCAATATCATCTGAAATAATAATTTCTGCTCTTTGTTGAAGCTAAAAACTTTATCACAGCACTGAATGGAGATGCAATATCAATGACTTGGTAAAAGTAATGTAAAAGTTGGAGTCATAATATACTGCAACCCATTGGCTTTAGTGTGTGTAACTAAAGGTCACCTGAGATGGTGGTTCTTCATCACAACTGCTAGAGTTGTTTATATACCCAGAATCACAGAGTACCTTTTCTCAATTCCTTTGTCTTAGAGATGGATAAAATCAATTTTCCTGTCATCAGGTAATTGCAAAGTGCAGCTTTCAGCTGAGATTTACTTCCACTGGTGTTGATCTTTCAGTGCTTCCAAACCAGTTTCTTGTACATCTTTAATAGACTTCACAGGATCACCAAGCTTAATGACAGTTAATGATTCTCTGTTTCTCGGCAGCAGCTTGACACACTTTTTGCTTCTCATTTTTAGCAATCCCGTACATGAAGTTTCAGTAGTAGTACTTGTTGCTTGTGTCTTTGTTGCAGATGTTTTGCATGCTTCTTAAAATGACAAAAACTGATTGCCACTCAGTTGCTGATTTTTGTTTCCAGCCAAGCTGTAGTCTGGTTTGGTTGCACTCTTGAGCATGTATGAGGTTGATCTGAAGTGATACTTTTTGTCAAATTTTGTTAAATTTAAAGTTTGAGGGTGAATGTGAGAATGTTTTACACTTATAAAAAAAATCCCTTGAATAATAAATATATATTCAAATTCAACTGTGAACATACTGAAATTTCATCATGTAAATTTTTTTTTTTTTTTTTTGTTGAATTTCTGTGGTATTTCTTTCATCCACTAAAGTTTTCAAATATTTTATGAAAGACAACTTCTAACCTTATAGTTAACCCACTATATTGCTGAGTGTCTTTTCTTCTTTAAGATGAGAAATTGATATTTGTAAGTAGACACGATTCAGAGTGCAATTAATTTGAAAAACATCACTATGAAATCAACTTTGAAAATATGGAAAATTGCTGTTCTGCATTGAAATAGTAACAAAATTGAAAGGGATGTAGAATAAAAATTAATCATTACACACAAAAAATTGTATTTTTAAAGAGAGATTACATTTTGTTTACATGCTAATTTTTTTTTTTATACAGGAAAGTGAAGATGAACATCTTGTGGAAGGTAAGAAATGTTAATATATTTAAATTGTTTGTACGCATTTTGTATTTTAAGTCTTTATCATGCAAAGAAAATTTGACAATCTTTTAACTTGCTTTGTTAGGTCAATTTTATATTTGTTAAAATGTCAAAGAATCTATCATTAGATGTGTAATGTCTATATAATGGTTTATTCAATATTAAATTTTTACCATTCTCACACTTTTGTGATTCTTACAATTCAGTATAAAGTCTTTCTATATAATATTTCCTCATTAGACCCTTCAGTTATTATTATTTTTTTTTTATTTCATTTGCATTAAATACATTTCTTTCTCAGATGTAGATGTGTCAGATTATGAAAGTGTGACTGAAGGAAAAGAACCTGAAGTAAGTAATGCAAATCCATTCTTGTTAATTGCATAGTGTCTTTAATACAATCAATCACCAAAGCTTTCAACTTGAGTATCAATTTGATTACTTCAGACTAATTTCTACTTTATTGGGTGTGAGAAGGGCAGTTTCAAAAATCCATAAAGAGGCATGCATGCCCTCATATTATAAAATATGGCACATACTCAAGGGAGTTCAGAAAGCAGTTTTGTCAAAAAGTGATAATGAAAACTCCAAGTAGAAAATTAGTCTGAATAAACCTATTCACAATGTTTACATCTTGTCTTAAAATTAGATAAAAATTGTCATGATTTACTCGGTAATTATTTTGTTACAATTCTAGATTTTCAATAATAATAAAAATTGGCTTATATGGAAAAATATAAATAGTAAAATAAGTGGAAAGTACAATTAGTTACAAAATGTTAATATAAATTACATTCTAGAACAATACATTTAGTTTTCTTGTAGAAATATTAAAGAAAATTTTAAAACATGGAATTAGAAATTGCATATTTAAAAAAAAAAAAATAAGTGTTTAAGGATTTCAAAGTTGCTTTCAACTGAGTATAATCTTAAATTATTGATTTGTTGTTCACAAAGACATTGCATCAGGTTTTACTTTTAGTTCTCAGTTTTTTTTTTTGTTTTTTTTTTTGTTTTTTGTTTTTTTTTAGGAACTTTGATACAGATAAGGGAAAACCTTTTAAATTACTGTAAATGTTTCATGTGTTCTAGATTCACTCTTATTGCTTCCTGTTTTAGATAACTTTTTATAGTAGACTCGTTATTTTACTTCTTTTTAATATACATTATAAAGGACATTAGTTTTTTTGCCAGTGAAGGCAAAAATATTCAGCATGTTAAAAAAAATTTAACTGTATTAGAAGTAAGTTATTGATAAGTAGGTATCCACCATTTAAAGAAAAAAAAATTATTGCAACATTAAAGATTTTCAATTATAAAATCATTTTTACCTGCTATTGTTGGGTTTCTATAATTTCTACTAATGATTGTTAAAATGGAATCAAATTTTCATTGTTTTGTTTTTGTTTTATATCCTCTAGACAAAAATACTTCTAGTCAAACTGATTTAATTTTTTTTTTATATATAATATCTCCCAGGAGGATGGTGTTGATAATGAAGATGATGATGAAAGTGAAGAAGAGAGTGAGGAAGACAGTGAGGACGAGAGTGAAGAAGAGGAAACAAGTGAAGAGGATGAAGAGGAAGATGACAGTGATGTTGGAGTTGATTATGCTGATGATGGACTAGAAGAAGAACGTCAAAGTGGTGATGGAGAGGTAAGTCAGCACTTGGTGTTGATTTCTTCCTTAACCAAGCCAGTTTTTAAAAATGTTAGTTTCTATTTCAACTTAAATGTTTATTATTAAAAATTCTACTTTATTCAGTTTGCCTAGAATTTGTTTTTGCAATTGCTCCTGTTATATATTTATACTGAAATATAACTTGCAAATTTTGATCTACTCTTGTTACAAAATATATACAAATATGATGAAGCAGCAGTCATATGTACTTGAAAGCTCATGAAAAAAAAAAAGATTTTAACATTTAAAGAACTGTTTAAAATTATACTTCTAAATACAATCAAATGTAACATAAATGATTATTACCAAAGTCTCTACCATAACTTTTTAATTTCTTGCATTATTATTACTAATTTAATTACTCTCGGTGTGTGTACTTTTCTGCAGGAACAGCCGGGTGAGGAAAAAGATAAAGAATTAGATGATGATGAAGATCGTAGAAATCCTGCTTATGTGCCAAGGCGGGGAGCCTTTTATGAGCATGACACTCGGATAACTGAAGATACAGAAAAAGAACAACAGCGACTTGCGTAAGTTCCAAGTGTATTTTGAAAAAATTCTATTAAGCATTTAGATATACAAATTCTTTAAATTTAATTTTTTAACAAATTATTCAAAGCTATAAATTATATTTCCTTTTTTTTTTTTTTTTTTTTTTTCTATCAAACTTTACGGAAGCATACTCTTTTTATACTCATAAAGCAAAATAAGTATCTTTCACACAATTATGTCCAAGATAATGGAAACAGTTCTCCTAATTGCATAAAAGAACAACTAGAAAATTAAAGTACATCCAACAAAATCTAGGTTTGACTTCATTCAATCTTGAAAGCATAATTAACTCTGAACAAATACTGTGTTCATGGTAATTTTGTTAAGCTTTACTCTAAGCATTGTTAAGCATTCTACTCTATTTGAAAACTTTATTCTACTCTATTTGAAAACTTTATTCTACTCTATTTGAAAACTTTATTCTACTCTATTTGAAAACTTTATTCTACTCTATTTGAAAACTTTATTCTACTCTATTTGAAAACTTTATTCTACTCTATTTGAAAACTTTATTCTACTCTATTTGAAAACTTTATTCTACTCTATTTGAAAACTTTATTCTACTCTATTTGAAAACTTTATTCTACTCTATTTGAAAACTTTATTCTACTCTATTTGAAAACTTTATTCTACTCTATTTGAAAACTTTATCATTAATTATAACTGAAGAAACAAAATTTAGATTTTCTATAAACAGGATGTCATATTTACAATGGTCATCCTCTTTGGGTTTATTTGAACTAAATATTGCACTAATTATTAATGTACTGATAGATTATATTTCTATAGAAATAAAAATATACATTATGAATTCATAATATTCAGGATTTTTATACACAAGGGACTATGACTCTGGGGAAAAAATTATACCAATGTGTCAAATCAATGTCTTAAAAATAGAGGCAGTCGGGTAACAGTCCTCTTCCAGCCAGTTGTATTAGCTTTTAGTTATAAAAACACTTCATATTATTAAACACTTTTCCATTAAAATAAGCATTTTAAAGACAATTTTATACATTTATCAAAACTACCTGAGAACTTTAAAATCTTAAATCAGTGGTTCTTAACCTTGTTGGAAGTACTGAACCCCACAAGTTACAGTCATGCATTCACCAAACACTTTGTAATGGGGGGGGGGTCTTCAAAACATAATTATATATTTTATTAGTGCACAAATGAACCAGGCATCAGTTGCACACAAAATCACTATGTTCAAAGAGCAAAACCAACAAAACATGACTTTCACACAAAAACAAAACCATAACCCAATGAAGTGCCGCTCTCATTTCATTTTCATGTCTACCATGGAAATGGTTTGCTTGCAAAGATACATTATAACAAACAGTAAGAGTATCTCAAGAGCTTTCTTAGCAATAATAGGACACGCTATGATTTAGTGACACCAAAATGTTGAGAGCATTGTTGTTTTGAAGAGTTGCTGTTGAACCTTGCTCTGCCGAAGTTCAATGATTTCATCACGGTATTCATCATTGACATCTGCTGTTGCAACACTAAGCATGAACAGCTCTCTCTGCTGGGGAAGTATCTGTCAAGAGACTTTGCAAGCTTATCCAAGTGCATGGCAATTGCTTGCTTCATTTCCCCAGGTATAGAAATGTCTTGGATTCCAGACATGTCTTCAATCTTACACAGTTGTTCAGCAGGGGAAAATTTGTGATGTTGTTATTCTGTTTGTTATTTCCATAATGATAGCTTTTTTTTTTTTTTTTTCTTTTTAAGCCTTCAGGATTTCTGCTTTGATGATGTTGACTCCACTGAACTGCACCTGTCAATTGAGAGCTTCGAGAATATCTGCCATGTACACCAAAATAACAATGAACTCTGAATTTTCAAAGCAATCTGTATGACAATGTTGGTGCTCTTGCAAAAACTGGGCTAATTCCACACACATAGCAAAAACACAATTCAGCACCTTTCCCCAGGAAAACCACCAAACGTTAGAATGGCACAGAAGTACCTCAAATTCAGATCCCATTTCATTACACAGCTCTTTGAATATGCAGTACTTCATAGCACTATTTTGCATATAGTTCACACATTTCACTACAATTTTTAGTACTTTTACCAATTCAGGTAATGTTTTTGTTGCCATTGTATGCCTGTGCAGAACACAGTACATAACAATGATATGTGGTGCATCAGTATTCACCAGCACTCCAAAACTGTAGTTTTGTCCCAGCATAACTGGAGCTCCATCTGAAAAAAACGCAGAAACCATATTCCATGAAAAATCCTCTCTGAGGACATCCTTCACAAGTTTGTTCACATCGGTTGCCTTGGTTGTTGCTGTAAGAGGCATACAAAATTAAAAAAAAATTCTTCCTTTATCACATCATCTTTCACATAGCATACAAATACAACTTGGCTTAGATTGAAGACTTTGGTGGTCTTCTCAAATTGGAGGCTGAATTTTGCTGGGCTTGTAATCAGATTTGCAACTACTTGGGCCAAGATGTCATCGCTCATGTCTGCTGCTGAAAGTGTCATTTGAAAGAGGAATTTGGGTTAACTTATCTTCAGCTTTTCCCAGTATGATATTCGCCATCTTCAATACAGCTGGTTTTACGAGTGTTTCACCAATGGTATGTAGTTTGCTCTGCTTTGCAATCAGGTGTGCAACTTTATACAATGCTGGGAGGATCAAGTTGATGGGTACAAAGTCATAGAATAGGCAGAGTAGCCTTTTCATCGAATCTGGCTTTCATCACCTGACGAGTGCTGAGTTCTTGTATTTCCCATCTCCATGCAGCTTTAAGAAATGTTCTCCTAGTTTTGCCAGTGCTAGACTAGAATTGCTCAACGTGGCATTGCAAATCATGCATTGGGGATTCTGACTCCCATCACGTTCCATTATATACTCGAATCCATATTGTACATATTTGTCCAGCCACTTTCTTTTTTTGCTCAACACTAAGCATGAACAAAATAAAGGGATTGAAAGATTAGGCAGGAAATCACAAATGATGTACCATCACGACAATCACAAGTCGACTACTGAGTACACCAAGTTCCCCAGAGTACAAATATCAAGGCCAAGCAATGTGGCATGATCAACTGCAGCCAATGATGGCCAAGCAGAGCATGCCACAAATCATAAAAGTGGGTGAACAGATTGGACACATACACTGTGTGTATGTGTGTGTCTTGACCTTCACCAAACTCCTGAACACCTGGGGTTCAACTGAACCCAGGTTAAGAACCACTGTCTTAAATAGTTGTAACTTGCGGCTTTTTCATATATTAATTTTACTTATTTTTAAGAACAGAACTTTATCACCATTACAGGTCTGTGATAATTAACAATATTCAGCTTAATGCAATAATTTTCCCCAGATTTATTTTTTTTTTTTTTTTTTTTTTTTTTTTTTTTTAAATAGACCAAAAAAGAAACTTTGGAAAGATGAAGGGAAATGGCAGCATGATCGATTCCGTGAAGATCAACAAGCTCCTAAATCTCGAGAGGAATTAATGGTCATTTATGGTTATGACATTTTGGCTAGTGATCAACCTCCTGCAGCACCTCCTAGGATAAACAAATCAAGGTTTTTTTTGTTTTTTATTGTTTTGTTTTATACAAAATGATCAGTTTAAATTTAAATATTTAAACTTTTTAAGTTTTTCTTTGAACTGGTGAACTTAAGAGGACTTTTTCTCAAATAATACTTTTGTTTTTTTGTATTTTTTTTACATGAATTGAGCTTCAGTGCAGATATATAATTTTAAACATATTTAAATTGTATCTTTTATAAATTATTTGAAAACTGAAGACTCAGCCTATTTTAATATTGAGTCCAGAGGTAGCTTATATATATAGTTTATGTATTTCAACAAACATAGGGTTGTATATTAAGATAGTGATGATACAGCAGGCAAGATTAAAAGAGCTTTGATGTCCTTTTGTTCACCTTGAATAATTCACAGTATCCTAGCTAAAGTTAAATTGGTTTTATATTTACTAATAATGCATGAAGCTTTAAATACTAAAATTAGTTTTCTGAGCATTGGTTTTCATTTATTGTTAAAATTTATTTTCATTTTATTAAGGCATTCATGACATATTTGTGTGGCTTTATTTTAAAGACTTTCATTTCAAATTACAAATTCCCTGAGAGAGAAATGCTTCCCACCACTTTCTTTTTCCATACATACTCTTGATTTGTTTCATTTAATGGCATTTTGATGTTATGTCTAAAAACCAAATTTTAAAAAAATTTGAAATATTCTGAAAAATGTTAAAAGCAAGTTAGATTAGATAACCAAGAAAATATAATCAGTAACATCATCCATTGCCTTGATTGAAACCAGTCTTCAAATGATTAATATTTGATGCTTTCAATCAAATTCATTCCATAATTTCTTGTCTTAAATTTAAAATCTTAAACTAGGTATCCCAAAATGCCCTTATTTACACTATGAAAACATGTCAAAATAGTGAAATTTCCTTCAATTTCAAATGCTGATATCTCATTTATTTTTGAGGCTACTTTGATAAAATTTGTATATAAAGAAAATAATCTTTTCTCTTTCTAAAAGTTCTTTCATGTGTGATGATTAGTCTTTACTCCACATCTCTTTAAATTATGTCATTTATGTGATAGTCACTTCTTTTTATACCTTCTCAAAGCTGACAATTTTGAGTTGTCTCCCTACACATATCAAAATAGTCTCATCTTGAAATAAAGATGCTCGTAAATTTGGTGGGCTTGTGATAGGTTTGTGAAAAAGAGTTCTAACTTGAAAACTTTAGGAGATAAAATATCAGAGAAATTCAACACTTAAGAAAAGCAATGTCTTGTCTTTAATAATCAGTTGATTTGCATATCTTTGTGCCCATACAACTTGAGGTGCACATGAATCAAAAAGATAGTATACTACTGATTTGATTGAGTGACAATCACTAGCTAACCACATTTTAAATCATTCATTTCATTGATGAATATTACAGTTTAAATCTTTTATATTTTTTAATGAGTCATTTCAAAACTATATAATGTACTTATTCATTGTATTTTGCCCAAACTGTCAGGCTTGAATCACTTTCTCCTCAGTTATTATACACTCTTTAAAAAAATATTAAACTGAATTCATACTATAAAATTAAAAAAAAAATAATTATTTATATAAAAATGTGAGTACAAATTTCATATAGTATATCTGTAAAAGGACAGTATGAAAAAGTTTTCCTTTTGTCTTTATTCTCATGCACCCACACACACACTTTAGGGCTGTCTTAAAGGGGCCTCTAGTATGATTAAATCATTTTTTTATATTTTATTATGATCTGAAATGCAATACTTATTATATTCAATGGTAAATTAGACATGGCAATGGTAAAATTAAAAATCAAGGAATTAATTAAATATATATAATCAAATAATAGATATATAATTATAATGTATAGATTTTTTTATGAAAAATCCTTTTAATTATATTTTAATGTGAACATAGTAAATGCCTATAAAAACAGTTTCATTGATTTAATAAGTCTTTGTTTTTAAGAAACTTAATAGCTTTTCATGTAGGCATAGAGGACATGGGTCATTTAATGACCGACTAGTTCTCATGTTGTTTTTTTTTTTATTAATTTCCATTTTACTGTGGGGATTTTGTTTCTTTTAAGTATCAAAAATATTTAGAGAGGGATGTTTGGTTACAATATCCATTGTTGTTGAAAAAGAAAGATGTTGGTACGATCTCAATATAAAATTTTTTTTTTTTGTGTGTGTGCTACCAATATGAAATTTTTTTAATACCTGGATTAAGTGCTTGCTTAAAATTTGACTTTGGCTTAAGTGCTTGCTTAAAATTTGACTTTGGCTTAAGTGCTTGCTTAAAATTTGACTTTGGCTTAAGTGCTTGCTTAAAATTTGACTTTGGCTTAAGTGCTTGCTTAAAATTTGACTTTGGCTTAAGTGCTTGCTTAAAATTTGACTTTGGCTTAAGTGCTTGCTTAAAATTTGACTTTGGCTTAAGTGCTTGCTTAAAAATTTGACTTTGGCTTAAGTGCTTGCTTAAAATTTGACTTTGGCTTAAGTGCTTGCTTAAAATTTGACTTTGGCTTAAGTGTTTGCTTAAAATTTGACTTTGGCTTAAGTGCTTGCTTAAAATTTGACTTTGGCTTAAGTGCTTGCTTTAAAATTTGACTTTGGCTTAAGTGTTTGCTTAAAATTTGACTTTGGCTTAAGTGCTTGCTTAAAATTTGACTTTTGGCTTAAGTGCTTGCTTAAAATTTGACTTTGGCTTAAGTGCTTGCTTAAAATTTGACTTTGGCTTAAGTGCTTGCTTAAAATTTTATTATGCTGTTTTATTTTTATTTATTTTTTTTTTTCCTAAATTTTCAGTACAACTATAACTTAATTTTAGCGTATTTTTATTGAAAATCTTACTAAGAAGATTATTACTTGAAAAATGTTTTTCAATCAAAATGAGAAACTTTTGCCCTAACTTATTACTAACCATTTGGTTAAATGGTGGTGTGTACGAAATGATTTTTCTATTTCTTCTCTGGTTATTTTTATATTTTTTTTAATATTAGGGTATTTATACCCACTATTTTTTAAAGCTTTATGAAAATTGAAATGTTTATAGAATATATCTTCACTTGCAGAGTTAATACTAATTCATTTCTAATTTGGTTGAGAGTACATGTTTTATTATAGATGGAGGGTGATTTGACCAGGTGGATATATAAAGGATTGGTACTTGCTTTCTTATATGGTTGATATATATTATTTATTAAGTCTGTTACATCAAGGAAGTTTACCATTTTTAATTTTGTATTGATAGTAACTTTTAAATTTAGGCACTCTATGTATTAGTTTTCAAATCTCTTAAGACAGTCCTAAAGTATACAAAAATAATTAAAAAAAAAAATAAAATGCCAAAATTAAGCCATTGTTTGATACATATGCCTGTCTATTATTACATTGTATCTTATGAATAACAGGAAGCAATGGTGACATGTCAAATATGCAACAGCTCATCTAGACAAGCAGGAATTACATACCCACACCTAGCATCTAACCTACATGTTTTCACTTTTCTACTTTAACTTAGATCTGTCTTTGGATTTGTCAAATAAAACAACACCCATAAAAAAGAAATTTGAAATATTATTCCCCTTCCTACTTAAACTCTTCAATATAATACTATTTCACTTTCAAAAGTAAATTTTTTTTTTTTTTTTTTTTTTTTTTTTTTTTAAGTTATTGAATATTGTTTGAAAATGGAATAATAATTTTAAGTTCCGAAATATTGAAATTTCTGTGTTGCAATGAAAAAATATTTTTTAGAGAATATAATATTATTCTCTACTTTGTTGATACAAAGTAGAGAATAATATTAAACTTTTTAAAAAATAAATGCTTAAGAACTGTAGATTATTAATCTGACTGTTCTTTCTCTTTATTTTGATATATATAATATTAGAATTATTCTTAGTATTTTTAATTAAAATGTTACATTTCAAGAATGAACTGGATGTGTTTTAGCTTAACTTTGGCACATTGGTCCATAAAAAAAAATTTAAATGTAATTTACAAACACATGCTAAACTATAAAATCAAATGTCCTATTACAAAATAGCTATTATAAAAAGTTTAATAAACCATACAAAAGTTAAATTTCTACACTGAATTAAAAAAAAAATTAAACTCTTACCAATAATGATTTTTGTAATTATATCATTGATGAACAAATTAGATGAGCCATTAGAAATATTAACATAAGTCAAAAAGAACATAATCACCCTAAATCCTCAAATCACCCTAAATATATCGACTTACTATACTGTATTCAAGTGTATTCTAACTAGAAACAAGATGAAAAAATCCTAATAAATCTCATAAGTACTACTATATTTCTCACGGATTTTTTTTTTTTTTTTTTTTTTAAATCTACTAAATTTAACACAACCAACTTAATCATATGCAAGGTCATCTGACAAAACCCATCAAAAATGATAATTTCTGATCTTGGTTGGAACTAAACTTCTAGTTACAGCAGTGGATGAGTAGTAGTATTCTAACCCGAGGGAGGCTGCGCCGAGGGGTGGGGTCTCCTTCGGGGAGGTGGAACCGGCCCTGAACCCGTTTATACGGGTTCAAATGGGCTATTCGGGAATGCCCACGTTAAAAAGGCCTTGTGCCACATGACACCCTTGTGGGGGGGGTGACTCAATATCGATGTAATATCAATGACATGGTCAATATAAAAGCTGGAGCAATAGTATACTGCAACCCATTGGACTTGGCACTTGTGACTGAAGGTCATTTGAAGTGGTTCTTCATCACAAAGTTGTTTGAATATATCATTTCACTGAGTGCATAATGTTGGTCTGATCTAATAATTATTGATTCCATTTAGTATTTTTTTTTACTTCAATTTATGAAGTCTGAAATAAACATCTTCAATTATACACTGCTGAATTTGGCTTCTGGCCCAATAGCACACAAGATGGGGAAATTCTGACCAACTTTTAATGGTCATAACTTCATTGCTAATTGAGCTACAAAGATAAATTTGGTACTGTGTTTTTTTTGTTTTTGTTTGGTCATGCTATCTATGCCTGTATTAATGGTTTTAGATATATTGAAAATAAAATTTTAGTTTGGGATACCTACTTAAACATGTTTTTCTTCATTACCCACTACTTTCCTTCACTAAATATCATTAAAACTATCTAATCGAGATAAAAAATTTTATAAGTTTTTAAATGAAAGCAATCTGTTACAATAATTTTCTTGTGAAATTGAATCATGAAATATTCCTATAACAGCAACCATGAATTGTTACTGTTAAATAATCTCAATCAATCAAATAGAATTTGTACTTGTATTCATATTTTCAGTCTTTTTATTCATATTTATGTACTTTTGTCTTGTATAAACTTGTTACTTCAGAGTTCGCAATTCTCAGCGCAGACAACAATTGAAAGATTTTATTGGTGATCCTAAGTGGTCAGGAAGGCGAACTAGCCCAGATGTTCAACAGAAGAATTATCGAAATCGAAGACCTACTCGGGGTGGTGGTCGTAATAGACTTGGAGATTATGGAGACAGCCGGAGGGAATATGGAGATAATCGTCATGAGGTAACGGAAAGTCGTCGTGATCACAGTGATGTCCAAAGAGATTATATAGACAATCGAGGTGATGCTGAAGAAAACAGAAAAGAGCTAATGTCTGAAAGAAGATGGGAAATGGCTGAAAACAAGCGTGAAAGCTCAGAAAAATGGCATAATCCAGAAGAACCAAAAGTAGAACAGAATGAAAAAGTAGCAAATGATGTTCATCATTATAAAAAGGAATTTTCAGAAAACAATGGTAAGGAAGTTGCTGAAGTAAAGAAAGATCATTTTGAAAACAGGAGAGAATATACAGACAATAGAAAGGAGTATGGAAATAACAGGCGAGACTCTGGAGAGAACCGCCGTGATTATATAGATAATAGGCGTGACAATACAAGTGCCAATGTTTCATGGAAGGTGCACAATTATGTTGATAGAGCACACAGTAATGGGGAAGTCAAATCTAACAATAGCTTTAGATCAAGTCAGAAATCTGTACCTCCACGACAGTATACAAATGCTAATTACAGAGGTGAAAATGGTGAAAATTCTAAAATGGATTCAGAAAATTTCTCAGCTCCAACTTTTAAGAAAAGTCCAGAAAGCAATAGCAATTACAAAAATATTGAGCTGAACTATCGTGGCAGTGATCCTAGAAGCTATAAAAGTAATCATGAAACTGGTCACAGGAACAACATAATTGATAACAGAGGTTACAGAAACCTAGAAGCTAACAGTAGTTATTCTTATAGAAACAATGAAAACAAACAAAGGACACCTGACAGAAACTTCTCTAATGAAGAAGTTAATGATTCTCTGTCAAAACAAAAAGGTGCCATTTTGAATAATGTTGAATTCAGTGGTTCTGTTGTTACTGCCAATAACAGCATGGAGAAAAAATCCTATTCTAAAGAGAGAAGAATTAAAGGAATTGCACGTACTCTGATGCAACCTGTATCTACACATGAAACTGCCATGGAATCTGACAGGAATTCATTTAGTTCTGAAAATACTATTCAACAGCAGGAAAAACTTGATCATAGTAAGTAACTTTATCTGGTATTAACTTCTTATTAATTTGTGCAACAAGTTTTCTTTTGTTTTTGATTTCTGCAAAAATTTTAAAGAAAATTTTAATTTCTATATTTTTTATATTTTATTTATTTATTTATTGGGATATTTTGTAAATTGATAAACCAAGTCAACTTTTATAATTTTTAATTTTCAGTTGCTAAGTATTTGCACAAATAATTTATGGAAATAAATGTTATAAGATATTCAAGCTGAAAAGTTAAATTTGCATAATTTCCACAAAGATTAAAATAATACCCAGTTAAGCCAGTGGAGAACTTTCAGAGGGAAATTAACAGGAGATAGCTGATAACTGACATCCATTGAAAAACATGGCACGTGGAACTAGAACAGTCTACCCCAGTGAGTGAAATAAAGGGTTAAGTTCGACATTCTAACTACCTGAGGAAGGCCAGAGCGTACAACGACTGAAACATAAATATGGCGACAAAGATGAGGACAATAGTCCGAATAATGTACATAATACCTCATCTCAGAAATATAGACAGATACTAAGTGCCTTTTGTTGAGTTTGTGCATTACTATTGGAATCGGAATAAAAAGTCACTTGTCATTGCAAATTTAGTAAAAAAACAAACAAAAAAAATCAATACAGGTCATTAATTCTAGTATTAAACTTGGAAAAATAGGCAAGAATCTTCCTACCCACCTCCTATTTGAACACAACTATTATATAGAGCTGTAATAAATTAAGTAATCATTTTTTTTTTTTTTTTCTAATTATCTTAGATACTGGTCCATCAAAGGCTGAGAATGTAACTCGCCCTAAAAGATACTCTACTCAGCGACAGAGAAATATGCCTGAAGTAAATTATCCTGATCAAATTCCTGTTGACGGAACCACTTATTACAGTCCCAGTAAGTCACTTTTGTTTTTTGTGCTTAGTAAAATATGGTAATATTACTAACAATTTTTTTTATTTATTTTTATTTTTTAATTCCATCAAAATTCTAATTGCATTTACTTTGTTTGCTTTTAACCCAATTTTAGCATGACATTTTTTACTATCTTTATTATTTTAAATGCCAAACAAAGAATTTCATGTTACTCAAACCTATTCAATATTTTCTTTCAAAGAAATATATTTTTTCTTTCTTTCCTTTACGAAACATTTTCTTTTTAAATATTGAAAAAAATTAATTTGTTTTATATAGCTATTTGCAATATTGTATCTATTGATCCTAATTGAAATTTTGCACATACCACAGTTAGAATAAGCCAAAACTGTTTTTTATTTTGTGTGTTTCTGAATTTTTCTTTCATGCTGAATGTATCAAATTAGATAATTATTTATTTTTTCCTTAGCATTTCCAAGTTTAGGTGTTGCTATATAAAAACAGTTTGTTCCTTATAGCTTTGGAGATGCAGCATGTATTCATTTTGTTTTGCTATATAATTTTTTTTTTTAAATTTAAAAGCTTTTTTTTTTTCTTCTTTTTTAATGAAAAAGAATGGAAAGCTATTGACATATCTAAGCCAATTCACTTACCATAGTAACTACGAAGGAAATATAAGAATGTAAGAAAAATACAAGCAACTATTCTATATGGAGTTTTATCATTATTGTTGTTTAACTATGTGCTTCATATTTTTGTTTTATATTCTTCTCTTGTTTTTTCTCTCACTCACTCATAAGGGTGTTAAAGAGTTCATGGTCTGACCCACTTCCCAAAAATGTCAGATTAAAAAAAAAAATTTTTTTAAAGGTTTGTTAGACCAAGAAATTTTCAAGCACTTGTTTTGTATATAGCTCTGTTGATGTATATTAAGCATTTTAACTCATTGGGGGCATCAATTTTGAAATTTTCTTCATCAAATGTATTCCAATATATCAGTAACCTTATTTCACCTAATTTTAACTCAATAAGTGGTCAACTATAGATTACAAAAATGCATATTATAGTGAAGCTTTTAATTCAAATTTTATGAAATTACAAAAACATTAAGTTCTGGTGTTTATACTATTGTCTTATTTGATAAATTGCTAGTTGAAATCGGGCTTTATGAAAATGATAGATAACAAATTAGTTTCTTGCTTATGATAATAAAGATACATAGACTAATAAGATACCACAGTTTATGAGTGTATCTCTAAAAATCTAGATGATCAGAGTCTGCCAACTGATCTATCCTCTGACCTTGTTTGCACAATTCAGTGTGGGGAGGGACTGGCTTCAATACCTTCAAAACCAAGTTAGTAATTTTTCGCCATCACAAACCCTGAGTCTCAATAAATCTCCTTGACTGGAATATCTATTGAGGCTCATTTCAAACCTCAATATACAATCCATTTCTAAAAGATGCTGGGAAAATGGTTGGTTCCTTGTACCACTCCAGAAATTACTTGAATCCTCCTGACATAATCTATATTTACAAGAGCTAGATCAGACCAAAAATGGAGTTCTGCTGCCATATCTGAGTTGGAGCTGCCCAGTCTTCACTTTCTGATTTTGACAAATTTCAAAAGTCTTGATTATTTTCCATCCTACAAATCCACAGACAAAACACTAGACTCTTCTTACTCTCTTGCTGTTTTCATGGTAAATGTTCAGTCAGTCTAAATTCCTTAGTTCCACCAGTCTGAGCTTACATAGCTAGGACCCACCATGCCATGTACACTTTATATTCAATTGATAAGGAGGAAGTTTCACTCAGCTTCTTCACTGTGACAAAAGACATGACTTGCCTCGAAGTTCAAAACGCGTGCGAACGTGTCTTGCCTGCAAAGTAACGCGGAAAAGAAATATGGCCGCTATCGAAGACACAACTTATGCACTTCGATCTCGTCCAAGACTAGACGATATTTGCCCACATGCAAACTTCTGCCGTATCAGACAGGCATAAAAAGTGAGATGCCAACAGCACAACGCAGAAGGTTCGGGTCATTCAGCGGACTTCGTGCAATAGAGTTGGACGTACGAAATGACTGACGGACAAAGAGGAGGTCGGTGTAGGCGCGGCTGAGTTGGTGTCTGTTTCACGACTGCCCGGTGTAACGGCTGAGAAAGAGTCCCGCAATCCATTTCCTTGAGGCGACCGACGACGAAGGAAGAACAGCTGGTCTGCCAGTGAACAGCACACTGCACTTTCTGACCCCCTCTCATCACTTTCTTCTTTTTGTTTACTACATTCACCAGAACAGTTACATTGTGGAACACTCTCTCAAAAGGATGCTTCCCTGATCACTAGGATTTGGTGGTTAGGATAATTAGTTGTTCTACATTTAATTAACTAAAATTATGCTTTTAAATTTTGATCATAAAAACATTAGAATTATGGCTTACATTTTTCATATTTTTTTTACTATTTTTTGAAAAATAGATGAAATTCTTTTAGGTTATTTTGCAAAATTTTTACAGATTATACTGTGTTAAAATTTTTGTATCTTAGTAAAACAAGAATAACATTTAATTTTTAAGTCATTTTAAATTAATTTTTTTTTTTTTTTTTTCACAAGTTTTAGGTGGAAATGCTTTGAAGTTCTTTTAGACTATTGTAAAATGATTAAAAACTGTTTTACAGATCCTTTGAAGAAATGAATTTGCATTCATAACAAACATGGACTTTTTCTGCTTAAAATTTATACAATCCAATTTTTGGTATACTTAAAACTTTTATAAGGAAAATATTAACTATACCTATTTTTGTGTTCATATTAAAATAAAATTAGATATTTGATATTATTAATGTCTAAGTGAATTTATGAAATGAGGATTTCCATTTTCTTCCAATTTTCAAAAAAAAAAATTGCTGCTGCAATTATAAAATTATTTGCACAAAGTTAGTAATTGGAATTTAATGATTATTGATCCAAATTGTTATACAGTCAAATTGGAAAAATGTATTTCTCTGAATTACATTTAAGAATTTATTAGGACTTCAACTCAACAGTTGAAATTGTTTTCACATAGTATTTTGAGAAAAAAAATTGCTCCTGTTAAAATGGTTATCTAATAAATATTTATTTTATTACTGATAAAGTTTTAATTTCAAATTGCAGTGTAAAATCTAAACAAGTTTCTTAAATAGAATATTCAACCTAGAATTTTGACAACATAAGATAAAGAAAAATTAAAAGAATAATGAAAATGTTTGATCTAAGAATTCACATAACTTGAGACTATTTAAATCTGAGAAGAATTATAATTGCAATTGTAAACTTTGAAGATTTTTAATATGCAAATAAATCTGTTGGTGAATAGTGGCTTTTGAAAATTACCAATGTTTATCTTTTATAGAATATTGTATGGTAATTTTCTTACAAAGTTGTTTTTTTAACTATTATTTTCTATATGTGTCTCTACTATATTTTTATACTTGCTGGTATGATTATCAATATTTTTATAGTATATCTTGTGAAAAAGAAAATTCCTTTGCTTTCATAAATTTATATTTTTACCAATATTTACTTATATTAAGAACATCTTATTGAAGAGCAATTACTCTCACTGTTCATATTTTTTTGTTTCTTTATTTCCAATCCTTTGTTTACTGACCTTCATTTTGCTAATTTTTGCTTTGTGAATTTTATTTTCATTATTTGCACACTGCCTGCATTAGTTTTTACTGGGGGTTCTGCTCACAATTTATAGTTTGAATCAAACTTGCATCTGTTTTATCAAACCAGTTATTTTTTTCAATTGCTCTTCCTTTTTTAAAATTAGTTAAATAAGTATTACTTTGCAGTTTTAGTAGTTCTTAGCAATTTAAGAATATTGTTTGTCTAATATCAAAACATAAATCCAGTGTTGTTAACATTTAGTTTTCCTTCATCTATCTGGGATATGCACTGTAATTTTTTTTACCAATATTGGTTGTTCCTTTTATGAACTGTTTGTGTTCCAGATTTTACTCAAGGCCCACCACCCATGTTTCATCCTGATCAAGGTCCACCTACTCATCAAGATGGAGCAGCGTTCCAGCCTACCATGTTACAGGCTCATACCCCTATCCCTTACACACTGCCAGGTAGGAGATTAGAAAATAGCACTGTGCGACTAAGAACCTAATTTAACAGTTGTCATTATTATGCAATGGTTATTGTTACTTAGGTATCAACCTCTTGTTTATGATATTGTCTTATTTGATAAACTGCTAGCTGACAACTGACCTGGTAATGAAAACGTTACAGTAGTGTTACAGTTGATCAGCTTTAGATATTATACTATCAGCAGAATTTCATAAAATACTGTTCAGCAAATGTTGAATGTTTCCCTTTAAGGAATAATTACAGTAGCATAGATGCAGTAATATATTGAGTGGCCAAAATGTTTGTTTGCTTTAAGTAAAAATGACTTTTTTATCAATTGCTGCCTTCATTTGTTCTATTTGGAAGCAATACTTTCCCAAATCAGTTGCTTGGTTCCTCAGAAGGGACTTTTAGAAGACTCTTCTAATTTCACCATACATATTCTTTGGCATACTTAATAATATAATAATCCTTTCATTTACCCTATGATCTCTTGTATTTCCCAGTGTTGTATAGTATCTACTTTTCACTTTCCAGCTCCATACAATATTTTTTTTTTGTTTTTTAAATAATTAACAATTTTATGGAATTTATGTATTAAATAGCACATGGAAATTGTAGTAGGTTGGGGCTCATGAACTCACCCAACAGAGAAGAGCAATATCATGTTGTACATGCACTGGTTTGTCATCACTGTGCAAACCGAGCATGCACTTTTATATGCACAAAGGTTGCAACATTTACAAATTCTCTGAATTGACCATTGATTGATGTCCTGAGGTAATAAAGACCCAGTACTATTTAACTGAATCAAGATTTGTTCACTTTGTGACAATATGGGTTATTTCTGCTGAGTTGCAACAAGATATTGAAGCCGGTAACATGACAAGAATAGTACAAATGATTTTCAATGCTAATCTTGATACTTTGAGTGTTAAGTCTCTCACATCATATGACATGGATTCTTGAGTAACTTGATCATTTGATTGTTATCAATCTCAACTTGTCTAACCAAATGTTGAACATCATTCAGTGACAAAACTTGGTAAACTGCTTTTGGCACATTTGATCTTTGATAGTACCTTCAATATAAATTTCATTTTTTTATTTTCTTATTTTCTTTATATGCTAAAAATGTTTCTTATTTTCTTAGCTTCAATGTTAGAACACAGTAAGCAAATTATGATAATTTTCATTTTTGCTTTGTGCATAATGATCTGACAGCTATCACAGCATAATCCAAAATGATCATTTTGAATGAACTTAAATGTAAATATTTTTGATGCTATGTAATGACTTAAATGGAACAAACATTTTGGCTGACCTAATACATTAACTGCTCCCTGGAGAAAAATGTTATAGATATTTTTTCCCAACAATTTAAAAATATAATATATGGGACATTATTGAATGGCATTTGTGCATTAGTCTAAGTTCATTTTAACTATTTAAAAAGATATACTAACAATTTCCTATTTGTTTTAAGGTTTTTCTTCATACTCTTGTGAAATCTAATTTTTTCCATTATTAGATAATCATTTAAATTCAACATTCATTTACTTATATTTTTCTCCTAAGTTGATCTATTGTGAATGTGGCTTGTTAGATATAAAAAAAAAAATTTTTTTTACAGCTTCAGCAGATACCTAACTGAATTTTTTTTTTTTTTTTTTTTTCAGAATTCCTTCATTCATTTCTACAAGTCTTAATCTTTATTTGCATATGAGTTTATCATTTCATATATTCATTTTAAATATTGCAAGGCATTCTTGTACAAGGACTTATATATATATATATATATATATATATATATATGCTCACTCACAGTGAGTACTGAATAATAAAACAGTACTCAATGTAAAAGAGTTAAAATTTATAGTAGGAATAATAATTATACATTTATTTCTTACTGCTCAATGCTACTCTGACTTTGATGCATACATCGTCAAATTAAACCTACCTACCACTTCATTTTTTTTAAAAGGCTACTGATAAAATAATGGAGTAGTCACTTTATTATTGGAGATGGCAGGTAGATAAAAAAAAAAAAATAAATAAATATCTAGCGCATACATGAGAGGGGTGGTGGCAGTTACCAGTCAGTTAGAAACTTTTTACAATTGGTTTAATGGTTACATTTAGGCATAAAAATATATCTATTGAAAAATGTTGAAATAGATTGTCTTTGGTAGCTGTCACCATCCTATATATATATATATATATATATATATATATATGTGTGTGTGTATATATATATATATATATATATATATATATATACACACACACACATTATATAATATAGATATATTTTGTCTATTTTTATAATGATCCTTTCTACTTCTCTGATTATCTTAATGTTAAGTTGAAATCCATCAAGGAAGGCACCATATTTTTTTTGTTAACCCAAGTACTTTCGATCTCCTCAGATCATCCATCAGGAGTGAATTGCAAAAGCAAACTTAATGTAATTGTAATCATTGTGATAGTGATTTTTGCAAGCATGTGCTCTGCTATAATTATTTTAAACTTAACTGTGGTTACAATGTTTCGTAAACAAGTATTCTCAGTGTGAAGTGGGTAACCAGATACTAAATTACAAAATGGTTTTAAATTTTATTCAACTCAAATGCATTATAAAAAATTGCTATTATATTTGCAATAAATTTTGTTCAGTGTTGGTTGGTTCCTTTTCATATAGAGGGCCTTGAGAATTTGGAAATTTTGTTTATTATTTTCTTGATGTAGTATATTGGTGTTAACAACAAGTATTTTCCTGCATTGTGAAGGTGGACAGGAATATGTCTTTAAATGTTGTGTAATAGAACTTGTATCCAATAAATGGAGTGTAATATGTATTGATAATATTGTGGTTGCCAAGCCAACATACGTACTTAGTTTTTTGTTAGAGATACAATCTCCAAAAAGATATTTAAAGTGATATACAATGTTGGTTTTGTCCAAAGTGCTAGTTGATGGAGAATAGTTATTGCATGTGATTAAGTTGGTTGTGTTAAATATATAATTAATTAGTTTTTTTTTTTCTTTTTTAAATCAGTGGGAAATATAATAGTACTTATGAGATTTATTAGGATTTTTTCATTTTGTTTCTAGTTAGAATACACTTGAATACAGTATAGTAAGGAAGTATTATGTTCTTTTTTGATTTATGTTAATATTTCTAATGGCTCATCTAATTTGTTTATCAATGATGTAATTACAAAAATCATTATTGGTAAGAGTTTGTTTTTTTTTTTTGTTTTTTTTAATTCAGTGTAGAAATTTTAACTTTTGTACGGTTTATTAAACTTTTTATAATAGCTATTTTGTAATAGGACATTTGATTTTGTAGTTTAGCTTGTTTATGTTTATGCTAGTTGGGTTTTTTATATGGGGAGGTAATAAATGTATTATTATTGGTGTTTATCAATACAGCAAGAAAGGAATTTTGTTAAGTTCACATGCAAAGTTAAGAACTGAGCTTTTTCAAAAATGAGAATATCATCTACATATCTTGAGTAGATGGAGGGTTTTTTAGTGGTGTTATTTTCAAGGTTACCTATGGAAATGCCATCATGTATGTAGATGTTATTTTGGTGGTCATAGAAGGGAAACTCAGTGGTACAAATCAAAAGTAGTTTTCATAATAGATTTGATTTTTAGTGAAGGGAGATCTGGATTGTTGTAAATATTCTTTGTAATTATATCAATCGTTTCTTTAACTGGAACATTGGTAAATAAACTTTCAATATCAAATGAGGCTATGGTATCATTAGGTTTTTGTGTTTAAGATTTGGATTAGTTAATGGGTTGATTTAATACTGTATTTACTAGGTATGTCTGGGGGTAATGAGTTGGTTGATGATTTTGGTTAATTGGTAAACTGGAGTAGGGATTTGGCATATGATGGGACAGAGAAGGAAGTTAGGCTTGTGTATTTTTATACTTGCATGTATCTAGGTTTGTAGTCTCCAGTTATTTCAGTGTTTTAAGTTGTTCTGTTTTGCATTGTTGCTTGAGATCGGTTTTTTTTTTTTTTTATTTCAGTTGGTTAGGATTGTTGACTTTTAAAATTTGGTATCATCATCAACTATTTTTCTGTAATTTTGAATTATAATCAGATTTATTTAATACAACAAAGACATAGGTTTTATCCACTTTCTCTATAGTTATACAAGTAGTTCCTTAGCAGTATTTTTTTTTTTAAGGTGCCTGGAAGAGTTTTTCTCTTTGTCGTGTCTGTCTTTCTATTGTTTCAACTTTAAGCAGATCACAACTTTCTCGGTGTGTTTTTAACAAGTTTTTGTATATTTTGATATAACATTTCAGTTTTTTTTTGTCCAATCTATTGTTTATAAAGATAACAAGTTCAAGGTTGAACAATTCCTTTCAGTGTTCTTTTGGTTAATTTGTAGTTAGATGTTAACAAAAAATACGGCACCTTCCTTGATAAATTTCAACTTAAGAAGAACATAATTAGAAGACTAGAAGGGGTTATTGTAAAATATGTCTATATTATTTAATGAAACATGTTTGAAGGAAGATATGCTGCCTACATATACATGCACACACATGATTGTAATATATCACACATATGGTCGTGGGGGTTAATAAAACAGTGCTTGATGTAATAAAACTATTAAGCATATATTAATAAATATACATATTATCCCTGATTAGTAGCATGACTCCGTTTCATGCATAACGCAATCTTCAGGTGCTGCATATAGACTTAACATTACATAATTTAAATTTTAATAAAAATATCTGGTTATTGCAATGTTGGCTGGATTATGGTTTTTTAATTTCAAAAAATATATTTGGAATTTAAAGTAAATGGGAGATATATATGAGTTGAGAATATTATTTTTTTTTATATTATGCATAAAGGGAGGTTACTTTTTCTTTTCAAAATAAAAAATATAACCATAATTTACATTAAAAATTAATCTGGGTCAATGTATTTGTGCAGACGTTTATTCTTATGTACAATTGAAAA